GCAATAATGTGGCATTATAGAAAATTCACCCAGAATCAATTTGATTCCAGGTGTTCTCAAAAAATTGACTAATTGTCTCTGAATCTATATATAGACAGAGACATCATGCAGACTGATGGTGTTAATTTGTTGAATCGAAGCTATATATCTGCAGATTTCTTGCAAGAGATGTTGTTCATATTTCCTTTGTTGGATAACTTGTTTAAAGTGAATGTGTGTAGTTTTTTTTTTTTTTTTTTTTTTTTGGTTTCCCGCCCGGTATCCGGTATTTTGTCCCGATTAATCCAGACTCAACCCGCGTCGCGCACTTGAAAATGGTGGGTGAGTCTCCCAGCGAGGGCTGTTGCGTACACAAAGTCTCAAACTTGAGAGCTTACTTAAGCTGGAACAAGCCGCTTACCATTTAATCCAACCCCTCATTGGTGTGAATGTACGTAGTTAGTGTTAAGGAAAGAATACCTGTGAGTGGATAATGGCATATGCTCTTTCATAGATATACTGCTACGCTATCTCCTGTGTCAGGTGGCATGTTTAAGGGGTGTTGCGTTGGGTGATGGGCTGAATGGCAGATTGCTTGTTGGGAAAATGTTGTCAAATGAAAATATGAAAGTGCTCATTCTGGAAAGAAATTTTTTTTTTTTAAGAAAAAAATAAAATTTATTTTAACGTTTTTTTTAATAGGCACAATTTACTAGTGCAATTATTGCATATTTTTAATAGCAATATTAAAAAATAAAAATTAATATTTATTTAAATAATTGTCAAATTAAAATGATCAATGGCATTAAGATGATGAATTACCTTGGATGGTTGGAGAGGAAGATGATGGATCAGCTCTACATGTAGACGATCTTATCCATTCAGCAACTTAAACCCTTTGCTTCTAGAGAGACTTGCAGCACTTTTAGTCCTTTTGCCCTCAAGGGTGGGTTATCAGTTCTGCTTGCATTTCTGTTTTAGTTCCTCATTGAAGACTCGTCAACTATTGTTAAGTGGGAAAATCCCACATTAAGTATAAAAATAAGAAGCTTGTGAGTTAAATACAAGGAGAGTTACTCCACCTATTGCCAATTGGTTTTAGGTTGTATGCAAGTCTTGTGTTGAGCCCACATGCAGGATTTTCAATATGGTATCAGAGGTCAGGTTCTACCATGGGAAGCCCGTTGTTATCCCATCTGACAAGACCTGAAGTTGATATCGAGCCTGCATTTAAGGGGGCCTGTTACCCCACGTGACAGGACCCGACATTCATAGCGGGCCTGCATGTGAGGGGACGTATTAAGTAGGAAAATCCCATATTGAGTATAAAAATAAGAAGCTTGTGGGTTAAATACAAAGAGGGTTACTCCACCTATTGCTAATTAGTTTTAGATTGGATGCAAGTTTTGTGTTGAGCCTACATGCAGGATTTTCAATAACTATACAAAAAAATTAACAGAAACATGCATCCTTTGTAAATGGTACATCAAGAAATTGTATAGCCGAGAAAGTTCCTAGTATAGACCTTTCCTAGTTCAAAATTTCAACTGTGCGGTGTAAAAATTTACAAAAATTCTCCTTGTTTTCTCCCCCTTATTCTGCTGGTTCCACCTCACTGTCTCCCCAAATCAGACCTCTTTCTTTGACTTATAAGGCTGCAGAAACATGGGCTAAAATTTGGGCTCTATATGGGCTAGTCTATCAACCAAAATGATCATTTTTTTACTTACTAGGAATAGGCCTAATCCAACAGCTTTTGGGCAATTTTTAGTTTTTCTCAGATGGGTTTGAGGTTACTTTTGTAGTAATACGTTGGCTTGGGTTGGGTAATGAATGAGAAAGGTACGTTGGGTTTGTTTTAGTCGGAAAATATGGTTTTATAAGGGATAAATGAAATATAATTTAGATTGTATATTAAAAATATAATTTATTAAAA